CTGGCCATGTTTTTCCGCAAATTTCCACGGTTTTCAGGATATAGAAGTCCAAGTTCATCAACTATACGCTCCGCGCTGTAGGAAAACGCACATCCGAGCTTTTTTTTCCGTCCAACGCCTTATGGCTTCCGCCAGGTCGTTCAACATGTTTCCAAGCATGTTGCAAATGAGATTAATTAATTGACTCGTGCAGGGGCCGAAGCTGTAATGGCCGCAAAAGTAAACTGGTAGAGGACCGATACATAGTCCAGATCCCTTGTCACATTTCGAGTGCAAAAACCGAAACACAAAGAACAGAAAGCAAACAACAAAGAAAAAACACACCAAAAACACACCCCCCCCCAAAAAAAAAACGCACATCCGAGCTTGGCGGCTGTTGGGGTCCTTTTAGCAACCGCTGGCGGCGCTTTCGTTGGGCTCTTTGTTTGTCGATTATTCTGCAAATTCCATTTGTTTGCGTGACGGGCGCAGCACTTGAGAACCCATACGGCCATCTTAAAGGTTGAAGCGCGGCAGGCGCAGCGCTTGAGAACCCTGTACGGCCATCTTCAAAGTTGAAGCGCGGCAGGTGCAGCGCTTGAGAACTTCGTGCGGCCATCGTAAAGGTTGAAGTGCGGCAGGTGCAGCGCTTGAGAACACAGTACGGCCATCTTAAAGGTTGACGCGCGGCAGGCGCTGCGCTTGAGAACCCAGTATGGCCATCTTAAACATTGAAGCGTGGCAGGCGCAGCCCTTGAGAACCCCATACGGCCATCTTTCCTTGCATAGCCCCTACAAGCCAACCACAAACTGAACCTCTGCGACCCCATTGTCAATGTTGAGGGTGTGTTGATGCTATTGCAACTAAGAAGTGAATTCCAATTTGAGCACTTTGAGGATGTGACTTGAGGCAAAATTTCTTTTTGATGGCTTCAGTTCAAAAGGTGAAACTGCAACATTTAAGACTCCGTCCAACATCGAAGAATGGGGCGCAGGGATTTAAACATACGTCAAATCCTCATCTTGGATTTGCAACTGCAAGTCTGGAGTCTGGAAGCGCAAACATCGACGATTCGCCTTTGCAGGAATGCCGATGTCGGGATTCT